AATATTGGGTCGAATGTGATTCTTGTTTCTTATTTTTAATGATTCTTCTCTGAATCATATCTTTTTTTTTCACAAACTGGAATCGAGTTTAAATGACACGCAAATATAACTGAATCTATCTGTAATCCGGGTAAAATGGGAATATAGATCACAAGAGTTTGAATTCAAAAAAGTTGGGCGGTCTTTTCATCATATGCTCAGTCCCTTCATATTGAAGGAAGCTGGTTACTTCGAAAAACCTTACGCCCGTATCGAATTGAATTTTCAATGATGCATTTTGAATTGAAATGCGAAAGAAAAGCTCCTATATTCCCTATCTCTTATTCTCTATCCTTTCAATGAGAGGGCCCCGGTTATTAATTCTCTGTAAATCTCCGAATTCTAAGGATCTCTTGAATTCTAAACAAGAGGGAGTTCTTGGTACTAATTGAATTCAATCAATGGGATTAAGTTTCTTAAGACTGGGTTAGGATAGAATAAAAAATAGGAGCAAGGACTTAATCCGGACTTGTTTGGTTTTGGACCTATACAAGATAGTTAGCATCCTATTTTATCAGCTGCTTTTTTTATTTATGACTCATCATCCTCCTAGAATTGGGGGAGTAGATAGGAGTTAATTAGTAACGGAAGATATGAATTTCAATATCTGTGTTTGCCCGAATCTCATTAACAAACAATCAAGTTACATATGTAACTGGGGGATTTTCTTTGAACCCAGTTTTTAGGTATTTCTTTTTTGGCTATAATGAATAATTGTAAATAGATATTCAGACCGGGCCGATTCAGCCATTTTATTCACTTTATTTTATGGCAAGATTACAGAAAGATTACTACTACTACACTTCAAGTCAAACAAAATATAAAAATGCATATAAAATGAGGAAATGTTTAGCTTATATGTATTGTTATCGTTCTATTTCAGTGACAACGGCCTTTCGATTTTTATGAAAAAATTAGTGACAATTGTTCAGTCTATCTGATAGATATGAAACCCCCTATTCGTTCGATTCTGATTTTATCACTCAGATGAAAGAATAAGGACTTAAATCTTCCCTTACATAAGTCTTTTTTATCCATCTCAAAAAAAAGAAATTGGATTTTTTGTTTGATCTATCTATCCGCGCTTGAAATCATTGATGATTCAATTCGAAATGAAACAGAAATTTATCTATCTTGTGGTGATCAAATGCAGCCCTTACTGTAAAATTGGATTCAAATAATGTGTCAAAGTGGGAAACTTTTTCAATTATAACTATTTTTAAACCATTTTTAATGATTCCGGAGGAGTTGAATCTTTGGTACTTGAAGAAGCGTAAGATTGATAAATCTATCCTATTGAGTCACTTGAAGATGCAAATTAAAAAAAACTTATTTTTTCGTCTTATTTATGTTTTTTTTTTATAAAAAAATGTTGTATTCATACAATCAAATATGGAGTTAAGTTGCATTTTTGTTGAGATTCCTTCAAAAAAATATCTACCCATCTATATAGAAGAGAAAAATCTAGATTACTATGGACCGACTGAACCAATGACTATTCATGATTCCATAATTGAATATTGAATCATTTCCATACCGGTTCCAATTTAGAGGAATGTTATGGTAAAACTTCGTTTGAAACGATGTGGTAGAAAGCAACGTGCGACTTGAAAGACACGATCCGTTGTGGATTCTTACATCCATCATTTTATATAGGAATGAAGGTGCTCCTGGCTCGACATCATTTGTTCTGTTCCACTAGAACCCCTCCTTTTTGTTGGGTTGTAATGTAAATAGTACATGGTGGAGCTCGAGCAGAAAGTATTGATTCATTTCTCGGGGGCAGGGATCTAGGGTTAATGCTAATCAATAAATTGGAACAACTTCGTAAGTATATCTTCGATATAGAAATAGAAATCGAAAGAATCCAATTCGAGCAAGTTTCCGCCCAAAAAGGAAAAAGAAAATTGTTGGAATTGATAAAACTCTTTCGATCCAAGGTGTATCGCGCGGGAATCCACCGTTCATATGATTCTTTGATAGAAAGAAATCACAAAAAGGGTATGTTGCTGCCGTTTTGAAAGGATTAAGGATCGCCGAAGTAATGTCTAAACCTAATGATTCAAAACAAAGATAAAGGATCCCCAGAACAAGGAAACGCCGTTTGAGTTGTCTCAATAACTGGATCAGAATGAAGAATTTAAATTGTTTTTAAATGAGACAAACAAAAAAGGGGGTTAGAGACCACTCAATAAATGAAATAAATGCCTAAAGATTTTTCTTTGAGCTATTGGGGAGTTATCCAACTTGAGTTATGAGTACAAATGATTTTTTTCTTTTTCAGTAAGGAAGAGAAGAAGAAAAAAGGGCTTAAATCATAGCCTAATTGATTTGATGATTTTATGGATCCATTTGCCATTAGAATTCTATATTATAATTCGATACATCGAAATCACTTCGAATCATTTTTTCTTGAGCCGTACGAGGAGAAAACTTCCTATACGTTTCTAGGGGGGGGTATTGTTCATCTACATCTATCCCAATGAGCCGTCTATCGAATCGTTGCAATTGATGTTCGATCCCGAAGAGAGGGAAGAGATCTTCGGAAAGTGGGTTTTTATGATCCGATAAAGAATCAAACTTATTTAAATGTTCCTGCTATTCTATACTTCCTTGAAAAAGGCGCTCAACCTACAGGAACTGTTCATGATATTTTAAAGAAGGCGGAGGTTTTTAAGGAACTTCGTTCTAATTAAAAAAAATTCAATTCATTAAGGAATAAAAAAAAATAAGGGAGGGAGTGGTGACTTGTATATAGTTTTGTATAATTTTCTCTACTATTTTTTTATTTCCCCTTTCTCTTGTTCTATTCATACCTAATTTATCTTTATCATTGCTCCCATAGAATCCCATGTTCTATAACGGCAAAACCTTATTTTATGGATCCTGGAAATATAAAATTCTAGCATTCCCCTCAATTGGTTGGTTTTCGTTGGAACTCCACTAACAAACAAGGAATAAAGTTTGCCTATTTCACTTAATATTGATTAAATACATTATTGATTGAATAAACCTAATATTTTTTTCTATTTTTTCCTTATTTATTCTTACATCTACACTTTTTTGTTTGTATCGATGTAGGTTATCTATGGAGTGCCAATCCAACACAAATACTTCTTTTTTATTTTAATATTATTCAAATTTCATTTGAAGTTTGTTTATTTTTCCACTGTATTCTTTTCTCAACATTCATATTGACAACAGTGTATCGAACAAATATAATTCATCGTGATAAGTGGATCTATTTATCTCCGTTCCATAGGTTTGTTTTTTTACTTTACTTCACTCAAATGATGGGTTCGTTGGATTCGCTTTGATACAAGAAGTCTTTTAAAATTAAAATTAGAATTTTTTTTTAGATTTCTTGTTTTGCTAGTTGAATGCTTTGATTGCCACTGCCTCGTATAATCTCTTTATTTATTTTTTTTGATTCTGATTGTATCTACACACCCTTTTCGGGTTGCTAACTCAACGGTAGAGTACTCGGCTTTTAAGTGCGGCTAGAATCTTTTACACATTTGGATGAAGCGAGGGATTCGTCCATACCATTGGTAAAGTTTGGAAGACCACGACTGATCCTGAAAGGGAATGAATGGAAAAAACAGCATGTCGTATCAATGAAGAATTCGGAGAATATTTCATTCTTCTCGAGTCGGTACAAAACCTTCTTTGAATTCTCGGAACGGAACAAAATGAATTCAATTTAAAGTTGGGCCGAGTGAATAAATGGATAGAGCCCTATGGCTTCAATTAATTATAGGGAAAGAAAAAGTAACGAGCTTCCGTTCTAAATTTGAATGATTACCCGATCTAATTCGATGTTAAAAATATATTAGTGCCTGATGCGGGAAAGGCTTCTCCCATGAGTGGATTACCCATTTTTTTAATGAATCCTAACTATTGTGATTCTCCATTATGGAATGGAGATGGGTGTGTAGAAGAAGCAGTATATTGATAAAGAAAATTTTTCCAAAATCAAAAGAGCGATTGAGTTGAAAAAATAAAGGATTTCTAAACATCTTGTTATCCTATAACGAACATAAACCAATTCCATTAAATGGAAAAAGAGAGGATAGAGAATCTGTTGATAAGTTTACCTGTCTCCGAGGTATCTATTCTTTTTTTACTATAATACCTTGTTTTGACTGTATCGCACTATGTATCATTTGATAATCCCCAAAATCTTCTACCCTTCGTTCAAATCTAATTTCAAATGGAGGAATTCCAAAGATATTTAGAACTAGCTAAATCTCGGCAACACGATTTCCTATATCCACTTATCTTTCAGGAGTATATTTATACACTTGCTCATGATCGTGGTTTAAATAGGTCGATTTTGCCGGAAAATGCAGATTATGACAATAAATCCAGCTTACTAATTGTAAAACGTTTAATTACTCGAATGTATCAACAGAATCATTTGCTTATTTCCGCTAATGATTCGAACCAAAATCCATTTTGGGGGCACAACAAGAATTTGTATTTTCAAATGATATCGGAGGGATTTGCAGTCATTGTCGAAATTCCATTTTCTCTACGATTAATATCTTCCCTCGAAGGGAAAGAGATAGTAAAATCTCAGAATTTACGATCAATTCATTCAATATTTCCTTTTTTAGAGGACACATTTTTACATTTAAATTATGTGTTAGATATACGAATACCCTATCCCGTCCATCTGGAAATCTTGGTTCAAATTCTTCGTTACTGGGTAAAAGATGCCTCTTCTTTGCATTTATTACGGTTCTTTCTACACGAGTATCGTAATCGTAATTGGAATAATTTGATTACTCCAAATAAACTCAGTTCCTCTTTTTCAAAAACAAATCGAAGATTATTCTTGTTCCTATATAATTCTCATGTATGTGAATACGAATCCATTTTTCTCTTTTTCCGTAACCAATCTTCTCACTTACGATCAACATCTTTTGGAGCCCTTCTTGAACGAATATATTTCTATG